TTTCTAAAAACAATATGTGCAAGAAACTAAATAGAAAGGAGTTCCGATTGTCATACAAAGCTTTCTGTGAAATATGTTTTCTTCTTTGTAACAACTTTACGGAAAGAGGCGAGGAAGGTTATACTGATTGCTTTTCAACCAAATAGCTTTTACGTGTAGACCGAATGCAACAAACGAAAAAGCATTATTATCATTTTTCAAAAAGCATTATTATCATTTTTCTGTACTTATCCCCGTCATACTTACAGGAGTTGGGCAAAACGCCAAGGTGAGCAACTTTACGTTTTTCTGAGAACTAATCAAAGCTTTTATCTGTATCTTTTTTATACAATTATAATTGGCCTTCTAGAAGATTGCCCGACAATTTCGCTTTCTATTGAGAAGATAAAGCTATGTGTAGGACAAGGAACGCTGAAGCAAATACGACGCTACATAATTAAACTGAATACAAAATTATGCCAGAAGTCAAATGGCGATGGGTAGGCTAGCTGAATAGCTCTCGGATAGAAGTGACACGACTGGCTTTCATGTCTTGTGATGAAGTACAATCGATGGGGAAAATCCAAAAGCAGAGTGGAAGTTATGAAAATAGAGGGAGGCAGAGCAAGCGACGAGACGGTGTCCGAAGTGCTCCCAGAGGAGCTGCGGCTCGATGCCACACCGCCGCTGCCAATCCCGACGGCAACTTCTGCCCGAAGCAAAACACTGCGTGACCCCCTTGATGTATGTCCAGCCTTCCAGCTGACGTTGATGTTCGACGTCAAGTATGACAATCGAAGCACATGCATGCAATATAGCAAGCCTGAGAAATAGGTATGCTGGGTAGCGCTTTCGCTGGGCCCCCACAATTTCCACAAGCGAAATGTTAGATGGCCAAACTCATAGGAGCATCCCATTCACTTAGCATGTAATCAACCCGAAGCTAGTCTGATGATAGTGTGTTGTCTCATCGTTTCTTTTCGACTCTATCAAAACCGTCGCCTTCTACTTTTTGGCTTGATTTAGTGCAGCTTGAGCTGAAATTTGAAAGAGCAAAAGCTCTTCAAAATAGCTCTACCAAGCCCTAAATCCTAGCGTGAAGTATGAAGCTGTAATCTGATAGTAGCTGAAAACGAAATTGATCATTTCTTTCCCAAAACAGCCTACAATTCTCCACTTACCTTCACCATAAATCTGGCACATTTGGTATTCAAATACACACTTTCCGTACAATACCGCCCACAGCAAAAATTCCGTAAATGTCGCAAATTCCCGAAATTTCGCGACATCTACGGAAACTTTGCGTTTGGGAGCGGTATTGTATTCACTCCATGTTTAAAAGTGAAGAAAAAATAATGAGAGGAAAATGACACGCTCCGTTCTTACAAGACAGGAACGGTTGATCGAAGCGACCCTATGAGATGAAATACCATCTTGGAGGAAGTAAAATGCTAATTCCGTAATTATCCCCCGTATGTGTGAAGCGCTCATGTTCGAGGAGTTATTGAATATTCACAAGAGCAAATAACTATTTTCTAGAATAAAATCAGTTGCTTGGAACTTACTAGCGACCAGCTGAAGCAGCGGATTGTAAGGTATATTTTATTCAAGAGTATTTATCGCATAAAGTGCTCTGATAACTTTTACTGCTTCATTTTAGCGCCAGGAAGAAGGCTACGATCATTTCTAAACTACGCTATCATTTTTTTTGCCCAAGTAAATGTTCGCAATTCCCCGTTTGGGAAAGCCCCGAAAGGAAGACATATAGGAATCAGCGTTCTGAATGCTTGACAATGATATACATAACTTCTCAGAATGCCACTTTGACCGTCTTTCCCTTGTTAGACGTCCTGGGTCACATGATTATTTAGCTTATACATTCAGAAGTACGATCATATGTCTATACCCTCGTGAGTGCCATAGTTTTCAAGGAATAAATTTTATGATTAGAATTGGCAAAAATTATGGGACAACTTATTGTATTACACAGTAAACGCTTGATTATAATCTTACAAATTCTAGGGTGTCCCAAAAAAATGTGCCTGCTGTGTGATTGCTAATAATAAGATACCATTTTTAGTGCTGGCTTCAACTTGAACTTACAGTATGGAGCGAATCACCGATTCCTTCTTAACACTGTAAGATAACGGTAGGAGTTTGCAGCATGGCGCCACTGTGAAATAG